CCTTTTCTTCCTTCTTTCCTTCCTTCCTTTTAGACAGAATCTCAATATGTAGCGCAGGCTGACCTTGAACTCACTAGGCAACACAGGTTAGCCTTAAACTCACAGCAGTCCTCCTGCCTTAGCCTCCTGGTATTACAGGTGTATGACATCATGCCTACCTTCCTTTTCTGAGCCTCACTTTCTTCATTTATAAAATGGGAGAACCAGAGTGCTGTCTTCTTGAAATCCTTGGTGAATGGCCATGATGTAGGGATTCAGCTGAAGTATGTGTTCTTCCTGACAGGGAAAAGGAAGGTATGTGAAGAGCTATTGTACAGTCAGATGAGAATCTGCCAACTCTCCTCCCCTAGCAAGGAGAGGCAGGACTGCAGGACACTGGTGGGCATCTTTGGGCACTATGGCTTAGGCAGCTCTTCCAGTATGGTGAAGGCCCATAATATGCTCTGCATCACACCAAGTTAAAAATTATCTTTCAGGTGATAAAAATATAATACATCTTAGTAAATATGAGGGCTCTCTGGTCTCCATCCCAAACCCTCAGAGTAGAAGGAGCTGCCCGAGTTTCCATACTCATGAGCCTGACTATTTCCTGCCCCCAGCACTGCTATCCATATGTTAAATGACATCCTCAACAAGCCATCATTTTGTCAGGTAGAGTGGGTACCAAACACACTCTCATCATGGAGCACCACATAGAAGGAAGGCATGCCCCAGGCTATGCAGGAACTTGGGCAATAGCATGATTGTGCGTGTGTGTGTGTGTGTGTGTGTGTGTGTGTGTGTCTGTCTGTCTGTCCGTCTGTCTGTCTGTCTGTCTGCAGTTTTCCCCAATGCATCAGATACACACAAGGGTGTGTGTTACTGTGTGGCTTCTGTGAGTGTGACTATATAGTGCTTGTCTTGCATACAAGCACATGTGAACCATGTAAGCTCAAGCAGACAAAAACCCAGCACAGAACTGTGGAAATGGAAAGCAGGCCCCAAGCTCAGTCGAAGACAGCTGATTACTGCTGGGTGAGAAAGAGCTGATCTTCTTAAAGGGACAGACTCCAGATAGACTGACTAGACCTCAGTGGATGAACTTGAGGGGGACATCTGAGACACTAACTTGACATGATAGGCTTTAACACAAATGACAGAATGTATTAATTCCAGTGTTGGGGGGTGGCTAGTGGAGGAGGCCGATGGGGAAGGGGGTATAAAGATGATTAAAATGTTCTGTATGAAGTACACAAAATTCAATAATTTTTTTTTAAAAGTGCATGTGAAGAGAGACTATGTTAGTGCAAGTGGCGTATATATGTGATGTGTGAGTGTACAGTATGTGGGATTATACACAGGAGTATATCATCTCTGTGATGTGCGTTGCTGTACATGGTGTGTGTGTGTGTGTGTGTGTGTGTGTGTGTGTGTGTGTGTTTGTGCAGTGGGGTCTCCAGGGTCGGGGCAATCACAGGGTAGTTTGACTAATATTTACAAAGTACCCTCTCTGTGCTAGGTGCTGCACTAGGTTCTGACACGAGTATGTCCAGCACTTGCACAGAGGTGCTATAACTGGGAAAGGAACAGAGGTGACAGACAGATGTATAAATACAGACAGATGGCATAAAATAGCAACTAAGATCTTTTATAAAAGTTCCATGAAAGGCCAGGTGTGGTGGTGCACACCTTTAATCCCAGCAGCTGGGAGGCAGAGGCAGGCAGATCTCTGAGTTTGAGGCCAGCCTGGTCTACATAGTGAGTTCCAGGCCAGGTGGGGCTACAGGAAATCATCCCTCAAAAAGACAAAAAAAAAAAAAAAAGGTCCATGAAGGGTCTTGGATAAAGCAAAACGGCAGGTGTGGTGGTGCACACCTTTAATCCCAGCAGCTGGGAGGCAGAGGCAGGCAGATCTCTGAGTTTGAGGCCAGCCTGGTCTACATAGTGAGTTCCAGGCCAGGTGGGGCTACAGGAAATCATCCCTCAAAAAGACAAAAAAAAAAAAAAAGGTCCATGAAGGGTCTTGGATAAAGCCAAAAGGGCCCAGCATGGCAGCAAAGGAACCCTTCCCAGGAGCAGTAAAGATTCATCAAAATAGACATTCTCTCATTAAATTATTTGGAAGTCCCACTTCTTTGCCTCCCTCCAGGAAAGCCTGCAAAGCTAGAATGCCTCTGAATTGGCAGGAGGGTGGGGCTGTGGGATTCTGGGAACCATCCAGGGGAGGCAGTACAGCCAGGCCAGCCCCCCAGGCCTGGGCTCAGTGGGCACACCCAAGCTGAGAGGGTTGACTTCCCTCTGACCCACCCAGCAACACACCTGATCCCACAGAAGTTGATAAGCGGTGACCAGCAGCTCAGGGTAGGATATAAACAGCCCAGCCCAGGACACACCCTAGGGGACCCAGGGCAAGTAGATGAGGACAGGGCCCCTCTCTGGGTGGGAGTCCATTCTGAGGCCCCTGGACTGGTGAGACTTGGGGTAAGTGTTCTGGCTCCTACCAAGAGGTCACTGGGGGAGCAGCTGAGAAAAGCCAGCCCAAGCCTGCAGGGCACTGGATGTCCTATGTGGTGGAAGGTAGAAAGTAGTATTGAGGGGCTGGAGAGATGGCTCAGCAGTTAAGAGCACTGATTGTTCTTGCAAAAGAGCCAGGTTCAAATCCCAGCACCCACATGGCAGCTAACAACTGTCCATGACTCTAGTTCCAGGGGATCTGACAGCCTCTTATGTCCTCCACCGGCATTGCACAACACGGGTACACTTACCTACATGCAGGCAATACACTCATACACATAAAATATAAATAATAAATAAAATTTAAAAAAGTAGTGTTGAGGAGAAAGACTTGAGTAAGATGTGTCCTCAGAAGGCCGAGCATGGTAGCTCACATTTGTAACCCCAGCCCTTCAGAAGCTGAAACAGGAGGATCAGGATTGAGGAGTTTTTGAGGCCTCCCTAGGCTACAATATTGAGATCCAGACTATCTTGACTAGAGTGAGACTTATCTTATAAAAACAAACAGCAACAAAACAGTCCCTGGGGGCTCTGCCCGGGACACAGGCTGGAGTGCTGAGTTTCTGGTCCTAACTCTCACCTGGCCAGTGACCTTGGGCCAGCCTCTGCTCTCAGCAGAGGGCTGTGGGGTGGATCCAGTGTGATAGTGGGATGAAGAAAGCGCTCATAAACTGAGCAGGGCAGAGGGCAGGACAAAGGTCGTGTGCAGGCCTGGGGTACAGCTACCTCTGCAGAGCACAGAATGAGCTGGAGGGCTTCTTGGTCCTCTTGCCCCACACATACCTTGTAAGTGAGACTCACCACAGAGGTCTTTGATTTAGAGCTGAGGAAACAGAGGACTGAGGGAAGCATATTCAAGAGTGACCTTATTTCCAAAAGCCATCCCTACTTTTTGGCCAGGGGACCTTGGGTAACACGAAGTGGGTACTTTGAGCATGGAAGGACTCCAGAGACTTAGTAGAGAAACTAGCAGTATGTAGCACATACAGATTCTCAAGAAATGAGGTCATTATTTGGGCGAGTGGAGCCTGAGCTTCCCTAGATCTGTGGCCACAGCCACATGGAGCCCAACCTGTCTAAACCTCTGCCTTTGCTAAAATGTAAGGACTTGTTTCAAAATGGCTTCAGAAGATTCTAGGTTCTTTCATGACTCCACTATTCTCTCCAACCAACCTTCCCATTCTCCTTTCCTGGACTCATTGTTTCTCCAGAACTAGCCCCAGTTGGTTCCAAACATAAATACCCCCACACTCTTTTCTTTTTCCCCCCCTCCAAGATTCCTTCTTATCTGCACCCCTGCAGCAAATAATCTGTAAATTAGTTCACACTTACAGCGATTGGTGGGAGCTTTGGGGGAAGGATTGAGATAGGGTCTCCCTGTGTAACCCTGGCTGGATTGGAAATCTGTGGACTTTGGGTTGGCCTTAAATTCACAGGGATCCTTAGCTTCTGTGTCCCAAGTGATAGAAGCTATACATGGCCTTCCATGCCTTGACACAGAACTTATTTGTGTGTGTGTGTGGGGGGGGGTGTTAGAAGAGTTATTAATGCTGTGGAAATACAGACGGACAACAGCATGGCAGGGGCTCTAAGGAGAGTTTAGGTGCCAGCACCAAAGGCAGATAGCATGGTGGGGGCTCTGAAGAGAAATCAGGACCCCCATTTTAAACATATAATTATCTTTTCATCTCTCTCTCTCTCTCTCTCTCTCTCTCCATATATATATGCTTTATCTCCAGCTGTGGCCTGGAGCTCACTATGTAGATCAGGCTGGACTCTATCTCAGACATCTGCCTGCCTCTGTTTCCCCTGAGAGCTGGTATTAAAGAGATGAGCCACCATACCCAACTTCAATAAATATTTTTATAACATAAAAAAAATAGAGGTTAGAGAAGCTTCCAGGGACAGGATAAAAAGGACAGAGCAAGGTATACCTATGGAATCTCACACTCTGTATCTGTAAAATTGGATAAACATCTCTCTTGGGAGAGGATGTAATGGGCAAAGTGGTATTTAGCAGAGTGCCAGGATAAAGTCTTGGCTGTCAACAAATACCAGTTCCTTCCCCCATTCTTTCTCACCAAGCACTCATCTCCATTCTGTTTTGCTTTTTTCACTTTACAAGATCATAACTGTTATCATGTCAGACACAAAAGCTACTCAGCTTGCAGCCCACTTGGCTAGAATGCAAAAGCATCTATTTATTCCACAAGGCTGGACATGCAATTTTAGACTTCTTAGAGAACAGCAGGTCCAAACCCTTGTTGTATAGGAGGAAGCAGCCTTGAAGAAGATTTGGCCAAGGTCATTGAACACATGGGTGGTGGCAACAAGACAGCCCTGGTCCTCTATTTCCTAAGCTCATGTCCTAGCCTGTGAAGTCTTGGGAGCAACCAACCCTCCCATCTACATCTATCTGCATTCCTCTTTAATTCTTCCCCCTCCTATCTGCATGCCTTATCCAATCCACAGCCCAAATTTCAGTACACAGATAGCTTAGACCAGAATTAGAAAAAGCCCGGAAGGAACTTTATTGGAGGTCTTGGCCTCCATTCACAGAAAAAGTGATCCAGAGTCCCATCTTGAGGATCTGGCATCATCCCACTCTCACTGGCCCAGTTGTGGATCTAGAACAGTCCAGTCTGGCCACCAGCATTTGGTGGGAGAAAAGTAGGGAGGGGAATGCTTTAGAAAAAATAGATCTCTATATACACCTGACATATTTATAGCGCATAAATTAGGGATGCTCTGACCCCCGCCTGTGGAGCCCAAGTACTGAGCAGAGAGGTGGAAGCCAGTCCAAAAAGAAGGTGCTGGAGGACACAACCCTGTCCCTTCTGTCCCGTGCTAAGCCTCCTTGTTGAGCCCAGGCATCTGCAGGAGGGTGTCTTCTACAGTGCTGGGACTAGAAGGAACTGAATTCGCAGCTGTAGAGTCAGCGAACAAGTCGCTTCAAACCCTGGGGCTTGTAATTCCAAGGAGGGCAAAGAGAGGCCACAGTCTGCACATTTCAGGACACCGCTGACAACACACCCAGCTTGATCTCCTCTCCACAGCGCCACAGGGAACACATCCACATTAAGGGGGCCTTCTGGCCAGCCTATCCTTTCAAGAAGACTTCAGGCCTCTAATCTGAGTCTATGAGTCAGATCCCAGGTCCAGTCCTGACGCTTAGTTCCGACTCTCCATAATCTCTTCTTCCTTCCAACCACTGGAGTTCTTGCCAAACTTGTAGACAAGGCGCCGACCATCCACCCGCTCCAGGATCTCCCTTTTGTAGTAGTACCTGGGTAGGGAGGAGGTGATTAGAGAAACAAGTAGGAGACATGCCATATACCAACAGCCCTGAGATCCTCTGCTGACCCGTCCCCCTCTAGCTTCCAGCCCCACCATACTGAGCTAGCCCATCCTGCCTGAGCTTTCCCTTCTTTCCACCTGCTGTTGCCACACTGGTCTATAATTATGTCAAGAGCACCTGCTTCTGCATTTTGTTTCTCTGTGCCTTACAGCTGTATCCTGGGGCTTTTCATGAAGGCACATGAGCAGAGGGGACCTTAGTGATATAGACCTAGTCCACCCTTGTGGCACAGAGGCCACAAGTGAACTGAGTTTGGCTTTGGTTATAGGCATGGCAAATGCCACGTTCTTTCTACCACTTTCCAAGTGTCTTTCTTAGGACAAGTCTGCAGAAAACACACAGAAATGTTGCTTGCAGTTGGCTGAACCTGACGGTGCTCACAACATGCCTGACTAGTACTTCCTTCATGTTGTCACTTGACCAGCCCAGTAGGCACTGCCCCTGTCCCCACTATATAGGACTCACACTTGTCACATGAAGCCTAGTGGAGGACAAGTGGAGTCCAAACAGAGGTCTCGGCCAGCTCAGTGGGTCCCTGGTTCATCCTGGTCTCAAGGATCCCAGCCACCAGCTCACCTCATAGCCCGGCTCAGCTTCTCATAGGTCATGTTGCTATTCTTTTTCTTTTGACCCCATAGTTGGGCCACGGCCTCTGAGCGCAGGAACTTGAACACACCCTCATGCCGATTCTCCCATTTCATGAGGCCTTCATTGAGCTCAGGGTGAATGAGGATGTCCCGGATGAACTCCCACAGGTGGGTACCTCTGGGGGCTACAAGGGCAGGTTCCCTTAGTTAGCAAACCAGGGTGTCACTCCCCCTCAGGACACCTGGCCTTGCCTATCCCAACACAGTGCTGACTAAGATCTAAAGCACAGACTAGCCCCTTCTGGAAGCCCTGGGCAATGTCCTCTGGGTGTACTCTGTAGTGACTTCTTCCTTCTTTGCCTGCTCCAAAGTGAAGCCGCTCTAGAAGACTGAATGAGCTTTATACAGAATACACATTTCACCATGACAAGATATGGATCAAACATCTGGCTGGACAGAGATGGAGACACACTACTGCCTGAGGCCCCAGGATCAGCGGGAGACCAGTGTTGGTGAGAATTTGGCATACATGGGGACAGAGAGCTGGTTACAGCCCAGGGGACCAGGGAACAGCTTCCTGGAAAAATAATCCCTCAGGACAAGAACAAAACCAGGCCATGAGTGCATACGTGCAAACCTGTGTGTGAGAGAGGAGAGGCAAAAAAGACCTTTGGGGTGACCTCCAGGTAGTTCTGAGCAGCTGGAGCACACAAAGCCTGAGGCTCCTCCTGTCCTCAGCAGGCTGTGCCTGGAGTCCCAGCCATCCCAGCCACTGGGCCCTGAGCCAATCTGAGCACCCACCAGCTCCCTCTTCACCACTAGGATTGTTCTGGCAAGCAGGACAGTGGCCAAGTGAACAGAAAGAGTGTGTGTGGGGAGGAAACCTGGACTCTCTCTCCATGGGCCTCCTACCTGGCATCTCAATTTCCCACCTATTGAAGTCTAAGCAAACTTCTGCAATGAGGAGGTGACTAACGCCACGGAGCCTCCCCACTATTCACAAAGGTAATGAAATAAAGAGAGCTCTAGTGGCCATGAGAGCTGAGGAGATGAGGGAAGAAATGTGGTCCCTCAGGCCCCAGAACTCACCGTGCTTGCTCTTCTTGCCATCTAGGCATTCCCAGTACTCTTTGCTCAGCTTTCGGGGACGGCCTCGTTTCCGCTTCCCGTGCTTGGGTTCCCCTTTCTTATAGTCAGGAAAGTCATCTATGGAAAGGGTTGGAAGGTAAAGAGAAGGCTAGGGCAGGGTGTCAATGGGGAGCTTTTCTATGGAAACCACTGTAGTAAAGCACAAGGAAGAGAGGGAAGAGTGACTGGGCGCTGTAGAATGGGCTCCCCCAGGAGCTGCCCTCAACTCACCTCTAGGAAAGATCTTGCTATCAGTGGGGTCTAGATCCACATCGCTTCCACCGGAGTCTGAGGAGTGGGAGCTCTGGGAAGTAGCAGTCCCTAGGGGTGGAGAGGTCAGCATGAGTGCCCAGGCCAGCCTACCTGGCTGCTGCTCGGGTTTTAGTGCTGGGAACCAAGTGATCTGGGGTGTTAAGAGACAGGTGGCTGAGACACAGACAGTACTCTCACCTGCAGTGGACACATCAGAGTTGCCAGGGGAGGGGGCTCCAGCGCCATAGTTGTTGCCGTAGTAGGAGCTGGCCTGGCGGCCATCATCCAACAGCTCCTGGGCAAAAGGGCTTCCCTGTTCTGGGAAGAGAAAGTTGGAGCTTAGAGAGGCCCAGGGGACCAGCACAAGGACAGGTAAAAACAGGCAAGGCACCTAGAGCTGTGGAATTTCTGTAGTTGGGGGAGCAGGTTATTGCTAGAACTTTGTAGATGGGGCAAGGCAAGCTGCAGAAGGAAGGAAAAAAGAATGGGTTCTTACCAAAGGGGATAGGGTCTCCTAGGGCCTCTTGGAAGGCCATGCCATCCTTTTCCAGCAGCTCGATGATCCAGCTGAGTTCATCGGAAGAGCTGGAGGCTGGAAAGAAACAGGGAGGGGTTGCACTCTGCACCCTTCCCACAGGGCCCACAGGTCCCAGGGGTTATCCTCCCTTTCACTCCCCAGCCCCTGTTGCTTGCCTGGCCTGGACTCACTGAGGTCACGCAGCTGGGCATGGAGTTGATCTCCCAGAGGCCCAAAAACTAGACGCAGCTCCTCCAGGGCACAGTTGCAGAGAGTGGCCCCATCCATATCACATCGTGAGAAGTCAATGGAACTGGCATCATATTTGTTCTTCTCCACTTGGTAGCTGATCCAGTCCAGAACCTGGGTCTTTGACCAGAACTGGGGCTGCTCCCCTGACCAGCTTGCCTTCTCTACAAGGTGGGACATAGCCACAGGGTCAGCCCAGGTCCCAGGTCGAATGCCCCTTTGGGATCCTATCTGAGGTCCCACCTCAGCTCTGGGTTGGGAAGGCAGGAAGTGATATTCATAATCACAACCCCTGGTCTCAGTCCACTCAGTCTGTCAGGCCCTATAATCCCCACCACCTCAGCACTTCAGTCTTCTCAGGGGCTGAGAGTATAGTTTAGAGGTAAAGTGCTTGCCTAGAATGAAGAAGGCAAGGCCTTAGGTTCTTTCTCTGGCACTGCCAAAATAAATAAATAATTAAGTTCTCCCCAGCTGCCAGCCCTGGAATTCACTCAGAGACCCTCCTGCCCATTCTCCCCATTTATCCAAGAGGCCCTCAGATCAGTGTCCTGGTCCAAGGTACCCACCCCATCCCTCTGCACTCACCTGGACCCTCCATGGACATCTGGGGGTTACTGAGGGTCAATACCAAGTCATCAGCCCCAAAGGTAGCAGTGGGGGGAGCAGGAGCCAGGGTGGGGTCTTCTGAACTGTACATGGCACTGAAGTAGTTGCTAAAAACGTTGCTGATCTCACAGGTGGCAGCCATGAGGCCCCCTGGGGAAAGGACACAAGTTGTTGAGGGTGCCAGGGGAGGTGCACTTCAGTTACTCTGTTCTGGGCGGCAGCAGGCCCGAGACACGAAGGAGGGTGTTGCTGTGGACATCCTCCCTTCAAAAGTGCCCCTGAAGAACCAGGGGTGGTGCGCACTGCTTGGAAGACCGAGGCTGGAGGATCTCGAGCCTAGCAACTTGCGACCAGCCTGGGCCAAACTTCGAAACTCCGCTCAAAAAAATAAATAAATAAGGCCTCAGGCCGAGGTGGAATCACTAGCCAAATCCTGCTGGGGTTCCCTCCTCAGATCACTTGGACCCCTTGAGCCAGAGCAGCCACCCTGTCCACTCTGATCCCGGGCCAGCCCCGGGACACACCCCAAGGCCCTGTACTCCTGCTAGATTAGGTTCAGAACTGTAAATCCACTGGACGATTCCCGGGGCTGAAGTTAGGGAATGTGACCCTACCGAGTGTCAGGGTGCGATGTGGCAGGCGGGTAAGCTGGCTTCTGAGGCTGCACGTAGGGAAGAAATCCAGGCGGCAGGAGGCTTCGCCAGGTAGTTCTGAGGAGTGTGGCCACCGAGCTCCCCTACTCCCGCCCTAAATACAGCAGTTCCGGAGCTCCTCCCAGCGCCAGGTCTTCAGTGCGCGTCCCCAATGGTAACCTGAGCTGGTGGCTCATTGGATACAGGGGATTTCCTGGCCTTCAGACTGGGCTCCCGGCCCCAGGTGATTTGCATATTCCGTGCCACTTGGCCCAGATCCTAGCAGGCGGTGCTGGGAAATCAGGCCTGGCTGGTTTAATGATTGTCAGAGTCTGTCATTCCACACCCTCTGGGGTTGGGCCCAGGTTACTGGACTGGGCAGGTGGCAGGAACGTTGCTGGGGTGGGCATCTGTACTTTTGGCTGCCCTCTGGCCCAGCAAATTCTTTCTGGGGGACAGGCTAGGGCTGGGCTAGGGAGAGGAAAGAGTAAGTGGGGAAGCCAAAATGGATGGCTGACTGGGTCAGGACAGCTGCTCCTAAGTATCCTGAAATCTGGGAACAGAAGGGCCAGGTAAAAAGTTCCCAGAATTTGGGATGCTGAAAGTGTCTAGGTACCATACTAGGTAGTATTCCTGGGCCAGTGTAGTTGGGCCTGCTGGCCTAGGCCTGAGCCGGCCTGCCTCCTTGTCCCAGAGTCCCCAGCCAGAGTCTCTGCTGTTAACATCCATCACTGACAAGGCCTCAACATGGCTTCAGGCCTGGAGCCCACCCAAACATGATGGTTGCTGCAGTAGAGCTGAGACTACTTAAAAGTTCTCCCTGATGCGAACTGGTGCTTTCCTGGCCTAGAGTTGGCTGGAGGTGCTAGAGTTCACGTAGGTAAGTTTACCCTCTTCAGTCTGGTCCTCTAGTAACTGTCCCTTCTCTCCGCCCAGTTTACCAGTATATGCCTGCTGCCCTCTAGTGCTTAGAAGCCCAACATTTCCGTCAAGTCATTAAAAATAATGTGTAGTGCTTGCGAACTTACAAGCGCCTTTCTTTTTTTTTTTTTTTAAACAGTGCTGTAAATTGAACCTAGAGCTTCATATATGTTAGGCAAGTGCTCTACTACTGGACTGTGTTTCTGGAACACTTGTAACATAACAATCTTCCTAGAAAAACACCCAATAAGGAACTAGAGAAAAGGTTTAGCTGTTAAAAGCACTTGCTGCTCTTGCAGAGGACCAGCTAACAACTGTCCATAACCCCAGTTCCAGGGGATCCAATGCCCTCTTTTGACCTCTTTGGGCATTGCATGACATAGGCAATATACTCAAGACACATAGAATAAAAATAATAAAAATAATAAAAATAAATAAAATAGATGAAAAAAATCCCTGAGCAGGAGCAATGGGGTGGCAAGGAGGGGGCAGATTCAAACTCTAGCATCTGCATTTAGGTGATAGTGGGCAAGATGTGTGGGCCTGTATTTCAGTAAGGAGAGGAATATGGCACATACTTATGATCTTAGCTACTAAAAACAAAAATGAAGGGTTGACAAGATGGCTCAGTGAGTAAAAGCATTAGCTGTGCAAACCTGATGGCCTGAGTTCAATCCCTGGAACCTACATAAAGGCAAGAGAGAAATGACTCCAAAGTTGTTCTCTGATCTCCACATGCACACTGTGGTATGAGTGAGCCTAATAATAATAATAACAGTAACGATTTTTTTTTTTTTTTTTTTAGTCTTTTTGAGACAGGGTCTCCCTGTAGCCCCAGCTGGCCTGGAACTCACTATGTAGACCAGGCTGGCCTCGAACTTACAGAGATCCCACAGCCTGGGATTAAAGGCATGTGCCACCACGCCCGGCAACAGTAACAATTTTTAAGGACTGATGTAGGTCAGTTGGCAGAGTACTTGCCTAGGGTGCACAAGCTGTAGCACTAATAAAGCTGTGCATGGTAGCATGTTTCTGTAAACCCAGTGCTCAGAAGGTAGAGGCAGTAGAATCAGGAGTTCATGGCCAACCTCAGTTACTTACAGAGTTTGAGGCTATCTTGGGCTACAGATACAGATATCTTGGGTTCAAAAACAAATACACAAAACTGGAGAGATGGCTCAGTGGTTAATAGCATGTACTGTTCTTAGAGAGGACCTGGGTTTGGTTCCCTTGCACGCACATGACAGCACACAACAAACTGTAACTCCAGGTCCAGGGGATCAGAACCCCTCTTCTCACCTCCACAGACTCCTGCATACATGTGGTACACATACATGTACTCAGGTACATACACATACATGTAAAATAAACTAACAACAAAAACTAAATATACAAAGAACAAGGTTGTTGGGCCTTGATAATCCCTAAGATCTTGTCTAGCTCCAGATGTTTTTTGTGTGGTGCCTGAGGATCCAACCTAGGGCACTGTATGTGTTAGGTAAGTGCTCTATACTGAACTATCAGTTTTTTCTGCATCTGAGAGTAGGATCTCCACCCCATTTATGAACACACAACCCCCAGGTGGTTCTCAAACAAAAGATGATTCTTTAGCCTCCAGGTACTGCACTGGCCACAAAAGTCCCCCTCAAAGGATCTCCTCTGAACTTCAAAACTAGCATCCTTTCCTCTAGGTTAGGGGAGCTAAGAGCTGGGGGGTCTGGGTAGGATTTTCATCAACCCTTCAGGGGGCCTGCCCCAAACAGCCAGAGGCAACCACACCCTCTATCCAGTCATTCACTCTGGAATGTGGGAGAACCAGCTCCTACCCTCAGGGCTGCTCACATGCTCTCTGCCCCAAGAACACCTGGGTGGGTCTCCAGGGCAAAGAGAGGAGAAGGATGCACAGAGATTAATGCAGCCATCAGCTCCCTTGCCTTCAAGGAGCTTCTTTCCAGGAGAAATGGAGCTAAGGAAGGAAATCCTATAGCTAGCCCATCCCCCGACTGGATAGTAATACCTTCAACAGCCAAATGGGGAAGAAAAGTGGAAAAGACTTGAAGTGGGTGCTTCAGACCTTCCCGGTACCCTGCCCATATGCTACTCATGACAAGAGAGACTCCTGCCTTTTCGCAGAGAGCTTCAGTGACCTAACTTTATCTTCACAATGGGAGGGTAGAACATTGAGCCCCAGACATATAAAAGCACACACTCAGTAGGACTCAGCAGAGCTAAAATGGTGAGGCAGCCTACACAACCCCATCCCCCATGACTATTCAGTGAATAGTAAGTGGAGTCAGAAGGACTTTTAGAGGAAGTGCCTTCAGGGACCCTTGTTATTACAGGGCTCCTTATTGCTATAGGTTTTTGTACAGAGCAAGTAAAAGATAGCTACTGGTCTGAGGGCTGACAGGAAAGACACCCAAGTGAGGTCAGGGATCTTTGCCTATGACCTATTGCTAAGGACAGTCCTAAGAGATTAGCAGCAGTTTTCAAGTAAATGCCAGCCCCAAAGTCACTCTTCCAGACCCCAAAATCCTTGTCCTGTGGCCCACATCAGCCTCTATTGGTGAGGTTAGGTGTATCATGGGGCAGTTGTCTCACCAACCTGGTTACTATTTTCCCTGGTTTTGGCTAAAAAAATCTGTTCTTTTTCTCCATCTTTGTGTACAAAAGGCAAAGCCAAGGACAGATCCAGAAATGGAGACTGGTTCAAAGATCCCTGTACTTAGAAAAGACAACTTAAGCTTATCTTAATCAAACTCCTGTCTCATTACCACTCGCAAGCCCAAAATGCTAACTGATCTCCATGCTGAAAAAAATCAGAATTTACTGACAAGCTCTCAACAGACTCTACCAATCACCAAACTGTTAAAAATATTTACCCAGAAGTAAGGCCTAGCAAAGCCCCAGAGATTCCAGGGATGTGAGGAAGAGGAAACATGAGAATAGCAGTGTGTGTGTGTGTATGTGTGTGTGTGTGTGTTCAAGTATGCACACATGGCACAGAGGGGACCCTAGCAGAAGAAATTTAACAGTGACTTTGGCTGGGTGTGGTGGCTCATGCCTATAATTGCAGCACTTAGGAGGCAGGGGCAGAAGGATCACCACAAAGCCTCTCACTCAAGTAGTGAGTTCCAGGCCAGTCAGGACTACAGTCAGATCTGTCTCAAAAACATAGAAACAAGTGAGATGGCTCAGAGGGTTAAGGGTACTTGCCACCAAGCCTGATGACCTGAGTTTGATCCCTGAAACCCACATATTGGTTAAGAGAGAACTGACTCCCACAAGTTGTCGACCTCCCCATACATACCATGGCGCGCGCGCGCACACACACACACCCCCCTTAAAAAACAAAACAAAAAAATTAAGTGACTCAATCTATAACTCCAACTTATTTACATTTTGTTTAAAAACATTTATTTTAAAAAGAAAAGAATTTCTAATCTCTGCTTCTCCCTAGAGACTTAGATGGGAAGGGAGCAAAGATAGACTACCTCCAACAACAGTGGTGGCCTGGGCAGTGTCGGTGGGAAGGACCTCTAGTTTCAGAACTCCCTGGACTAGAAGTTCCCACGAGGGCAGAGACCCAAGTGTCACAGACATCTAAGCCCAGAGGACAGACAGATGATCCTGAGGGAATAGAAACTTCAGGACACTGAGTAGGAGAACTGGAAGAATGGAGAACTATTCTTCCGAAAGCCTGTGAATCCTGAGAGGCAGAGACCATGCATATGTGCCTCTAACTGCCCTTGGGCTCCAGGATCTGCTGGACATAGTTGGCCACATTGCTGTGGAGCTGGGAAGCAGTAGCTGCAAAGATGTCCTTGGCAAGGGTCCGGGCCACCTCGCTGCTGCTCATCATCGCGTGGTACAGGGGGAGAGTATACTTCTGCTTCCCCTACAAGAAACACACATCATCCTCAGTCACTTGCTCGAGGGTCTGCCCAGCCCTCCTGCCTCCAACAGCAGTCTAACAACAGTCAAGGTCAGGGGCCCAAAGGGATATGGCTGTCAGAGCTGGAGTAAGGATCGTTCCACAGTTACAGGTACTAATTCTGGCATCTTCCGGAGGGTGGGGAAAAATCCCAGGAAATAAATCTCAGTATCTCAATGTGCATCCCTAATCCCATGATAGCAGGGAACCACCTACATCCATAAAACAAATGAAAAGGGTTGACACACTAGGACTACAAACTTTTGGAAAGTTGGAGGCAGTTAGCCACCAAGTAATGACAGCATAAAAGGCTGTAGCACATAAAATCCAGGGCCATGTAAACCAAAAACTCCACAAGTCAAATCCACATAACTATAAGGCAGCTACATGGCAAGCTCCTGAGACACAGATGCTTGGCAAGTGGTCAGAAGCTCAGAAGCCTTCCACACATGTGTAGCTCCCACTTCACACAGATGATGGAATCTGAGTGTTGCTTTGGATCCACTCCATCCCTCCCTGCTCTGAAATCTGAGGAAGCTCAGTTTATCAAAGAGAGCCCTATGTCCTAAAAGGTACCCCTTACTGGGATCTGCTGGTGTCTTATCTAAACTGGTACCAAATCCCAGAGCTCTGCAGGGATCAGGGACCTTGTCCTCTGTTCATCTTGCTCATCCTTTGGCCATGATCAATCCCCCACATTACACACTACCCTCCTTCCCAGTTTTGGTTTAGCTCTGACTAGCTTCATCTTCTTAAGCCTCACCAGCTGATCTCTAAAAAGCTTCCTATGCCCACAGGCTTCCTCTCTTCCCCCAGGGCAATGTCTCAGGATTCTTCAAAGACTAGTCAGCTCCTTCCTCTGGAGCTCAGACCCTCAAGGCTCTAATAAGCCTCTACCTACAGGATGACTTCAGGTATGGTATGGTGGTCCACATATTGCCCATGAGGGGACCAACAGATGTAGTCACCCACCTGGCTCTGCAGGAATTCTTTCACTTTCCAGAAATCCTCTTGGTGGTCATTTTTAAGGACAATTTGGCCCCATCGTAGCCGTAACTCAGCATTCTGGGCATTTGAAATCTTTGGGTATGCCTCTCCAAGTTTTTTCACATTCCCTGGAAATGAGAAAGCAATGGGTTGTTAATGTCCAGATTGGGGGGGGGGGGCTAGAAGACTCCTTCTCAGGTCCACTGAATGTCTGCCTTCCAGAGCAGGGGTGTCGAGGAGGGTCCCTGACGTACTCGACCATTCATTCTGTTCTTCCTTCTGATGCTCTGGAATGGGGATGCTCTATTACCAGTTCCACTGAATTCTGAAGGCTCTTCCACCCATGTTCTTGAATATCACTATAGACTTTCTGTTCTTTTCCTCACTTTTCTCCTACCATTAATCTGCTAAAGTTGGATTTAGTCAGTACTCCCTGCTCTGGAATCTGAAGATGTTCAGTTTATTAAGAGAACCCTAGTGTCCTGAAGGGTGACTCTATTTTTGACTGAGAGGCAGCAAAGCAGATCTCTGTGAGAGCAAGGCCAGCCTGATCTACATAGCAAGTTCTGTGTAGCTGTGGCTACAGGGAAACCCTATCTAAAAAAAAAAAAAAAAAAAGTTTCAGATGCCCAGGTTCAAGGCCCAGCCCAATCATATGCCAGCTGTGTGAGCTATCCGTGCTTCACTGATGCATTCTGTTACTAGAGATGAAAATCACAGGACTAGGGTTCTAGAGAGATGGCTCAGCAGTAAAGAGCACTGGCTGTTCTTGCAAAAGACCCGGGTTCAAATCCCAGCACCCACATGGTGGTTAATAACCATCCATAACTCCAGTTCCAGGGGATCTGATACTCTCTGTCCTCCTCGGGGACTGCACAACACAAGTGCACTTACACACATGCAGGCAATACACTCATACACAAAATTTTTTTAAATTTTATTTATCATTTTTATTTTATGTGTATGTGTGTATTGCCTGCATGTGTGTAAGTGCACTTGTGTTGTGCAGTCCCCGAGGAGGACAGAGAGTATCAGATCCCCTGGGACTGGAGTTACGGACAGTTGTTAGCTGCCATGTGGGTACTGTGATTCGAACCCAGGTCTTCTGCAAGAACAACCAGTGTTCTTAACCGCTGAGCCATCTCTCTATCCTCCCCAATCATACACATAAAAATGTTTAAAGCTTTTTTTAATTAAAAAAAAAAAACAAAAAAAATCACAGGACTCCATTCATGGAGTAATAATGAGGATGAAAAGGTCTAACAGGTACACAGAGCTTACAGGAGTGGCCTGTAGAACCCAGGGCCTGATGAATCCCAGGCTTTGTTATGTTGTTCCCTATGGCACTTATATGTATAATCTGTATACTGTTGATAACACATCTCTTGTGAAGTGTCAGTCTCCCTTCTACACCTGGCACCACCTAGAGGGAAGATCACAACTTTTTCTGAGTCTCCCTCTGGCCTCTAACATAAAGCTCTGCATCCAAAATGCTTGGATTAGGCACACTGAAGAAACCACCCACTGTCCTTACCAGGAGGGAGGGGGGACTTCTGGAGAATCTTATCCAGGAAGTAAATGAGCTGATAGGTCTTCCAGGTAGAGAGGGCCACAGCTTCAATGGCTTGCATGTCCAGCTCCGAGGTCACCCACAGCTCAGCCAGTTCTTCAGCTGGCTTCATGAGTGAATCCCCAGGGGAGAGGTCAGGGAGGTATGGGGGCCAGCCAGGGGTGTTGAGCCATCGATCAAACTCAAAACCTTGAGGGTAGAAGACAAGACACTGTTGGAACTCTCCCACCATACAATGTTCAAGCAATTCCCAAAGCTTTCAAGTCCTAACTCTCTAACCCCAAGTACATGGGGTCACTTTCCCACACACCACTTGCCCCAGCAGGGCCCTGATTAGGATGGTATCTTGAGGTTGTCATGGTAAGACTGGACTGTTTCTACTGTAAAACTGCTTTTAAAAAATACGTATTTCTTATTTTTATGTGTGTGAGTGTATTGCCTCCATGTGTGTAAATGTACCCATGTCATGCAATGCCCAAGGTCAGAAGAAAGCATCAGATCCCCTGGAACTGGAGCTACAGATAGTTGTTAACCACCAAGTGTGTGCTGGGAATCAAACCCCGGTCCTCTGCAAGGGCATTCAGTGCTCTTAACTGCTGATCTCTCTCTCCAGCCCCGCAAAAATACTTTTTACTCTGAGATTAACATTCTGTCATCAGAAGGTGATAGCCACATTCCTAGTTGTAGTCAAGTCTGTGCTCTCTTCTCCATCACAACACTGCTTACGCATCAGGACCCCAAGCCTGGCCTGCCTCGGTTCCCATCCCAGCTCTGCCATTAACTATCTGGGAGGCCACAGGCATGTTATTTCACCTCTTGGCGCCTCAGTTGTTTGTAAAATGGGGGTGCTAGGCCCTACCTTAGTTTACAGTTGTAAAGATTAAATAAGCAAATATACATTAAAAGCTTAGTGTACTGCCTAGTGCATAGTAAGCACTTAGTAATCATTAACTATTGTTAGTTACAGTCTCATGACCTTGAAATCCAGGCCTCTAACCAACAAGTAGATGCTACCAAGGCTGAAGCTGACTTTACCAAACCTACAAGAATGACTCAGAGTTTACATCCTGACAAGGGGTGTGTCTAAAGGACTATCTGGCCTATGACTGGACGTCTTCTCTGCTCTTTGAGGAAGGAGTGTCTCCTCTGCTGACATCAGAGCAGCTACTGGGATTTTCCTTGGCTCACAAACCCTGAGGAGGTCTTACCAGGAGCTTAAGGCAGGAGTACTGGCCCCTGCTACTGCCCTGCCTTTTAATTTGGGCAGCAGAGGCCGTAACAACTCTCTGAGAAGAGTCAAGAAACTTCCCTCTCCCTCTCTCCTCTCTCTGAGACAAGATCTCATATAGCCCATGTTGGCTTCAAACCCACTATGTAAGCTTTGATTCTCCTGCCTCCACCTTCCAAGTGTTGGGATTACAGCCAGGCTCAAATTTTTGTTGTTTGTTTTGACCTGAATTCACCAAATAACCAGGCTGGCCTTAAACTTGTGGTCATCCACTGCCTCAGACAGCTAAGCACTTAAGTCCAACTTAAAAACAGGCTTTTTATTTTGCTTTTGTTTTCTGGTGCTGGTGATCAAACCCAGGGCTTCAAACACGCTAAGCAAGTGCTTTACCAACTCAGCTACGCACCCCCCCCAACCCAAGAAGTTTCTTTCTTTTTCTTTTTTTTGAGTCCAGGGCCTTATGTATGCTAGGCATGTGCTCTACCACTGAGTTACACGCCAGCCCCCAGGGAAGTCATTCTGTGGAACAGAGCCTGGGGTCCTGGGCTTGCTCTCCGGAAGTGATACTTTACCAGAGGACTGTGACTCAGTGCTTTCCCACCCCACCTGACTCGTTCTCTACTATCTCTCGGGAAGCCTGTGGTCTAGTTTCTCTGCTTACCTGGAATGGAATCTACTCTCCTTTTCTTCAGCTCAGGGAAATACTCCAAGTAAAATTCCAGAAAATCTTCAGCTAAGATACTTTGGAATTTAAACTCATCTATGTATGCCTGTGAGGAGAGAAGTGCTTTCAGCTCTCTGGGCACCCTGGGGGGCAGAACCCCTCCATCTCTCAGGCCCTCTCTTACCCCTTACCTCTTGTGCCCCCTGCCTCTACCCTCGCACTCTGGCCCAGCTGCTTTATCTGCTCCTTGTCCTTCTCCCCTCATGGAGAGTTGACTATACCTTGAGAAACTTGTCAAACTGATCCTGATCACCCACCAGGTGGGCCAGGTATGAGACAAAGCAGTAACCTTTCTCGTAGGGAGTCTCATTGTAGGTGTCATCGGGGTCAACACCTGACAGAGGAAAAAGCAGACAAGACTGAGCATTCCTAACCCAGTCACCCTGATTACATTTCTCTGGCTAATGATTACAGACTAACTGTTGGAAGAGCTCAGACCACAGCTTCCCCAGGTACAGCGAGGCCAAGGTTTCCAGGATTCCACTACCCTCCCACAGCGCTTCAAAGGTGACTGTAGAGGGCCAGTAACTATGGATCTAAGAAAAGGACAAGGAGACAAGTGGTCCAGAGAACTGGCAGGTTTCCTTATCGCCAGGATGAGCTTTGTTTGCCAGGGCCCTTCACTAACTCTTATAGGCTGAACATGCTCAGACTTTCTGAGCCTTGTTGGTCACCACCTACACAGTCAACCTCCCCTCCCAGAACTGTTCTAGACTAAAACCAATTACCAATGTACAACAAGTTCATTTTACAGTCAATGGCACCAAAGAACATGAGCTTCAATTGCACAAAAGGTTTTAGGTTAGTCACACATGAAACTAAAGAAAAATGTTAAAAAGCAGGAAGTTCTGAACTGAGTAGGTACATGAACCTGGGCATGTCACTGAACTTGTCTGGCTCTGGGTCTTCAGTAAAATAAAGATAACACTGTATAGAAGTATCACTTATGAATGATGATATAAAAGGGATGAGAGCACCTGGGAAACAATAGGAATCTTCACAAGTGCAAAGCAATGGCCAAGCCACTGAGAATTTAGCTGCTGAACTGATTGGACTCAGCCTAGAGAACAAGGAAAGGCCAGACAGGGCTTGGTGCCCCCTTGCCCCCAAAATTCCAAGTGCATGCTGGTCAGTGTGCAGCTTGAACTAACTTGGGGCTCCAAGTGCAATTTACTAGAGGAGAAAAGACAGAGGAGCCGAGGAGGCTTCTGGACCTGGTTCAATCTTCACCCGAAGCTTGTTGAGTGGGTTTTCCTCTCCAGAGACGTCCATGTGCTGCCTCAGCAGAGCCCGGCCGGTTGCAGCCTCCAAGCAGGTGTAAGCAGCCCCTGGCCAAAAACAAACCACAAACCCCGACTTTGTTACCACTCCAAATTTTCTTGACAGAGGTGCTGTGCTGTCCCCTTGTGGTCTGAGGCTCAATGGCATTACCTTCCTGAGTGACAAAAGACAAACTGACTCAGTCTCTAGTTCTCTGATGTTCTGGCCTACAGAGATGTTGGTTAACCTGAGGTTCAGGTCTTTCCCTATTAATGGGAATGTATTTTTATTTTTAGGTAACAATTTGGTCTCTTATGAAAATTTAATGTTCCTCTGATGATCCTGTCAAAAGAAAATGTCACTTTCAAAAAATTTAAGCATCTTAGCTAGGCATGGTGGCACACACCTTTAATCCCAGCACTTGGGAGGCAGATCTCTGTGAGATTGAGGTCAGTCTGGTTTACAGAGAAAGTTCCAGGCCATCTGGGGCTACAGGGAGACCCCATCTTAAAATAAATAAGCAAAAACATTAAGCCTATTTAAGTATTCTTCTGGCTTTAAAAACAGTAACATGGGGACAGGAGACTGCTCCCAAGACTGACAACCAGAGTTTAAGCCCCAGGACCCATATAATAGGAGAGAACTGACTCCAGAAAGTTGTCCTCTGACCTCCACATGAGCACCTTGGCATGCATGCACCCACACAAAATAAATTAAATGTAATGATTGTTTTTTTAATTTAGAAAAAAAAAAAGTAACTGAAGGAGTGTAGAGTAGAAGGGGCCTAAATTTTGAAGTATGGAACTCTGCCACTTACTAGATGTCCTGACTCTAAACCTCTCTCAGCCTCAGTTTCTTCATCTATAGGATTCTATTGCTTTTTGTTTTTTTGAGACAGGATCTTGCTATATAACTCAACTCAAACTTGTGATCCCCCTGCTACAGCTGCATGAGCTCTAAGAACACAGGTGGGAGTCACTAGGCCATTTGCCTTGGACTTCTTAGTTGGCTGATTAAGACACAGACAGGTTCTTGCTCTGTACACTTTGAATGACAGTACAAATCTGTTCAAAACTTTTTGAGAAGGATAACACATACTGAAAAGTCTTCAAAATGTTCAGACTCAGAGGCTGTATTTCTAGGAAGTTACCCTTATTGAAATCTGAGAGATATACATTAATATGTGCATTGTAAAAATGTTTGCCAACAAATTTTTTTTTTGGAGACAGGGTCTTATATAGCCCAAGTGGGGCTCAAACTTGCTAGCCTTGAATTTCTGAGATCTTCCTGCCTCTACATCCTGAGTGTTGGGATTAGATTATAAACATGTGCTTAGTTTTATGTCTGGGTCGGAACGCAGAGCCTCATGCCTGTTAGGCAAGGACTCTACCACTGAGCTAATAAAACTCCATTAAACTTTTCCCCCCAGTGTTTGGGGTCAAACCGAGGGCCTTGTGCATGCTAGGCACAAATGAGCTGCATCACCAGCCCAAGTGCTATTCAGTTTAATAAAATTTAAAAATTTTTTTTTAATTTTTATTTTATGTGTATGAGTGTTATGTCTGCATGTGTGTAAGTGCACCCATGTAGTGCAGTGCCCTCAGAGGTCAAGAGGGCGTTGGATTCCCTTGGAACTGCAGTTATGTATGGTTGCTGAGATTCTAAATTGGGTCTTCTGCAAGAACAGCCAGTGCTCTTAACTGCTGAGCCATCTCTCCAACCCCTTAATTCTTTTAAACATTAAGTTATCAAACCATAGATGTATAATCATTCATATACACATATAGAAAATTGTTTGAAAAGAAATACGCTGAGCTGAGCATAGTGGCACACATCGGAATCCCAGCATATGGGAGATAGAGACAGGAGGATCACTGTGAGTTTGAGGTTAGCCTGCTCTACTAGCAAGTTCTAGACCAGCCACGGCTACATAGCAAGATGCTGTCTCAAACTCTCTCTGAGCCAAATATTGGGGATTGAACCTAGCCTTGTGTATGCCAGGCAAGCACTTTACCAACTGAACTATATACTCAGGTGAAGACCCTGTCTCAAACAAACATGGAATTAATATCTGTTTCATGAGGCTATTATGAAATCATCAGATGTATTTTTTTATAAGGAACCTAGATCAAAACTGGTATAAAAGTGCTTGACAGAAGATAATGATGAGTTTGGGGGGGAAGAGGGTTAGACAGCATCGTACTATGCAGTCTAGATTCATGTGGAACTCTATCCTCCTCCCTCAGCTTCTTGAGTCCTGGGATGACATATGTGTACCATGACAACCAGCAATGATAATGGCTTTACAATTCACTCATAAATTAACCAAACATCTGGGTGACTGATCCTGGTACTCTCCCTTTGGGACTGTCTGGCTCAGGGATGCCAGAGTATCTAGTATGACCTCAGCGGAGATGAGGATAACTTTCACTGTAAGCTCACCCATTAGTCCAGTCAGTTTAAACTGCATGTAATAGAGCACAGAATGGGAATTTTTTTATTTAAAAACAATTTTAAGGTAGATTTAGCCCTCTATGGCCCTTCACCTGAGCTTTCTGAATAATTACCTCCTCCCTTCATCCCTTCCTCTACGTTGCAACCTCAGAGAATGAGAGTTGGGTGCTTGAAAGGATGGCACCTTACCAAACAGGATGGTGGAGATCCTTCTCTGGGCATACATGGTGAAGCCTTCATTAAGCCAGAACTCCCCCCAGTTGGCATTGGTGACCAGATTCCCAAACCAACTGTGGGAGATCTCATGGATGATGACATCAGCCAAGGAACGGTCCCCTGCTAGCAGGCAAGGGGTGACAAAGGTCAGACAAGGGTTCTCCATTCCTCCAAATGGAAAGGATGGTGGCATGAAGAGCAAGTCATACCTGCCAAGAAATCAGACGTCACGTGTGGCCCTGACTCCCCAGAGCAGACCTCACTCCCCAAAAGAGTGTTCCTGTCCTCTTCAGACCCACAGAGCTACAGTCACTAAATGGGCAGAGCATAATCTTAGGTCCAGTGCTGAAAATGAAGCCCAGGCCCGTGGGTCCTTCTCCAGGAAGCCCCCTTGCCTTGCTGTCTGCTCTTTTGGAGGTAGCTTGCCTTGTTTACTCTCCTCCCAAGCTGGCTGTGAGCATATTCTTAGGTCCCCACTGGAAGCCAACTTGGGGTCATAAAGACCAACCTGTATCTAAGAAGCCTGAGCCTGAAGATGTTCAACGTCCCACAAAGAGGAAAGGCGGGTTAATAAATGCCTGACAGTGTTTCTGCACTCTCCCACCTCTAACTTAGCAGTATACTTTTATCACTTCAAGAGCCTTTTCTCCCAAATCCCTTGAGCAACCATTAAGGAGCCTGGCTTAACCCTTCTTCTTCTCCTTTTGTTTCTGGCATCAGGAAGCCTTGCTCTAGGAGACAGAGGGAAGCAGCCCCAGAAGGAGTGTGGAAAACAGTGACTAGGTTTCACATTACACATCTATGCATTGATACCACACCTTCCCCAAACGTAGGGTCCAAAAAGCTTCTCTCCTGTTGCCAGAAATTCTTCTATCACCCCGCTGTATTCCTTCTTGGCGGCCTCAATCAGGCAGGGCTCTGCCCACACCCGGCTCCTAGGCACAGAGAGGCAGAGGGGTGTTTGGAGACCACTGCAGCAACTTGAACCACCTGTAGGAAATCAGCCTTGGTCCCACGTTTGAGCCAACCAAATATGGTAATGTGGCCAGTCCCTCAGACAGGAGAGGCAAGACCAGACCACGTGCCCATACCCACGAGATTGCTCATCACACCTGGCAGTGAGGACCTAAGTCCACCTTGGGGAGGTGGCAGTTGACCCCTCCAGGCAACAGGACCTAAACTCCCAGGGCTGCAAGTCCATGGCTTCAACATCAATGCCATCTTGCAAAAACAGAATATATGGCTCAGGCCTGTAACTCCAGAACTGGAGCGGCTGAAGCAAGACGATTGCAGTGAGTTCTAGGCCAGCTAGGGCTACGGAGACCCTGCTTCAGGAAAGAAAACAAGACATCAATGACAAAAAAAAAGCAGAATGCAAGAGGTTTTCATAGAGTCCTTCTTCCTATGTATAGGATAGACAATGAAAGAACTCTGATAACAGAATCTCTGGAATACAAAAGAACCTTCAGAGAGAAACCTATCAATGTTAACAGAAAGCTGCTCATTTTTTTTAGGTGTCATATGGTATTGTGTCTTCACTTCATAACAAAGGGAGGGTGGAACTTCATTCTTCAGAGGGACACTCTGACTTGCTCTTGAAAGGTCTAGAGCAGTGCTGTTCAGATGACACAGTGGGCGAGGTACTTGCTGAGTTCAATTCTAAGGCCCACATGGTAGAAGGAGAGAACTGATCTCTGCAAGTTGTCCTCTGACTTCCACATGTGTACCAAGTGTGTGTGTGTGTTGTCTACAAACAAAAACAAACCCATGTACAAAGTAAAATTAATATGATAGAACAGGTGAATACACAGATGTTCAATGTATCATCCCTTCAACTTTTTATAATTTAAAACTTTTATAACAGATAAGGAATGCCAGGCATGGTAGGTAGCACATGCCTGTAGTCCCAGATTTAAACTTTTTTATTACATTTACTTATTTATATGTGTGTGGCACAATGCATGTGTAGGGGTCAGAGAACTATTTGTAGGAGTTCTCTCATTCTGAGATGTCGGTCCCAGGGATTGAACTCAGAGTGTCAGGCTTAGTGGCAAGCACCTTGACCCACTGAGTTATCTTGCTGGCCCCTGTAATCCCAGCATTTGAGAGGCTGAGGCAGGAGGATTGAGAGTTGGAAGCCAGTCTGGGTTACATAGGAAGACCCTATCTCAACCAACCAACCAACCAAGACAGAAAACAAAGTTGAAAAAAGGAGAAACAAAAAAATAATACCAAGATACAGTCAACCAGAAAGCAAAGGCTGAAAATTCAGTGATCAGACCAAGACCATTTATGACTCTAAGAATGAGCTGGCACCATGATTCAAGACTCCTGACGTTAAGGCCCATCCCTTGACCTTGCTTTAAGTCTTTCTACCACGGCCTCAGTTTGATTATCTACAAAATGGGTACAAAATTATCATCCTCACTGAGTCTGGATAAGGATTAGAGGGGATCATACACAAAAGGGCTATTGTGCTCCATCTTCTACCCTCTTCTATCCAGTATCCTCTTGTGGCCCCAGGGCCTGGGACAGGAGGCACACTTTTCCAGAAGACCCTCCTACTTAACATACCGCACAAGACCCTGAGATGTGAAGCAAGGATTATCTATCTGACAGGGGAATGAATAAATCATCATCACTAGGTGTTTTTTTTGTTTTTTTTTTTGGCTTTTTTTTTTGTCTTTTTGAGACAGGGTCTCCCTGTAGTCCCAGCTGGCCTGGAACTCAGAGATCCGCCTGCCTCTGCCTCCCAAGTGCTGGGACTAAAGGCATGCACCACCACGCCCGGCTTTTGCTTTGTTTTTTGAGACAGGGTTTCATGTAGCCCAGGCTGGCCTCCATTCACTATGTGGCTGAGGCTGACCTTGAACTTCTGATAATCCTGGCCCTACTTCCCAAGTGCTGGGATTACAGAACTGTGCTACCACACCTGGCTTGACTGGCACTGTAGCACTGGGGATGCAGCACAGTGTTAGAGTACTTGCCTAGCATGCTTGAGGTCCTAGGATTGATTCCTAGCACTGCAAAGCAACTATCAAGACCAGCATGTCTGGAATGTGTGTTCTGGAAGTGACACCAATGGAGTCCCATTTCTTATTCCACCTGACACCTGGGAATGAAGATCCATGAAACCAGGGTGTTAGAGAGCCTTGCTTCTAACAAATCTTGTGGAAGACACCACCACCTTCAGAGCTAAGGAACAGCAAGAAAGCCAGGAAAGGGACCTCTGCTTTCCAACCCAACCTTTAATCCTTTCACCATGGGATAAAGCTGTAGAGACAGATAATATGGAAAAACCTATACTCTTGGTCAAATATCAAATATTCTTTTTTAAAAAATATAAGACAGCTCAAAAAGAGCTAAAAAAGAAATATATAAGACAGGATCTTTTTACATTTTGGTTATTAGCCTTAGCCTTTAACGGCTGCACTACCCTCCCTCCAGCCCTAGACAGGATCTTTTTGCATAGCAGTGCGGGCTGGCTTTGACCTGGAGACCTTCTGTCTCAGGTTCCTCAGTAGCTGGATTCCAGGTATCTGCACCATGCCCAGCATTTCTTGTGTCTTGTCAGGAAATTTCATACAATCAATCATCAATCATCAAACAATCTCTCTCTCTCTTTCTCTGTCTTTTGTTTGTTTTTTTCTTTTTTGGGGACAAGGTCTCACTAGGTATCTTTGACTGGCCTGGAACTCACTATATAGATCACACTGGCCTCAAACTCAACAGAGATCGTCCTGCCTCTACCTGGAATTAAAGGCATATATCACCATATCCAGAGACACCATTTCTCTTTGTTGCCACTGAATCTAGTTTTATGAAGGCATCTTGTCAATATAGGTCTAGATTCAGGCATCTGCAGCAGAAAGTCTTCTTCCCTCTCTAAATAATGAGATCAAAGCTGTATATTTCCAGAAGTTCAGTGTTAAAGGAAATAGAGAGAGTTGGTGCATATCCAGAACACAGGGGCTAGAAGAGCATTTGATACTTTAAGTTACTAAAGATGGGTCCTTTTTTTTAATGTAATTATTTTTATTTTATTTTATTTGGGTCTTTTTGAGACAGGGTCTCCCTGTAGCCCCAGCTGTCCTGGAACTCACTATGTAGACCAGGCTGGCCTTGAACTCACAGAGATCCACCTGCCTCTGCCTCCTGAGTGCTGGGATTAAAGGCGTGTGCCACCACTCTTGCAATATTATTTTTATTTTATCTGTATGTGTGTAATTTCCTACATCCATGTGTAAATGCATCCATGTCAAAGCAATCCCAGCAGAGGAAAGGAGGTGTTGGATCCCTTGGAACTAGACAGAAAGTGTTGGATCCCCCGGAACTAGAGTTATGGACAATTGTTAACTGCAATGTGGGTGCTGGGATTTGAAACCATGTCTTCCTCAAGAACAGCCTGGGCTCTTAACTGCTGGTGGTGGCACAAGCCATCTCTCCAGCCCCTAAAGATCGGTCTTCTAAACTGCCACCTAAGGTGTTGGAGAGATGGCTCAGGAGTTAAGAGCACTGGCTACTCTTGCAGAGAACCAGGGTTAAATTCCCAGCACCCACATGGCAGCTAACCATTCCTAACTCCAGTTCATGGGGATCTAACACCCTCTTCTGACCTCCACAGGCACTGCACAAACACAGGTCCACTTACATAAATGTAGGCAGTACACTTATACACATAAAATAAAAATAATAGCTGGGCATGGTAGTGCACACCTTTAATCCCAGCACTCAGGAGGCAGAGGCAGGCAATCCCTGTGAGTTCAAGGCCAGCCTAGTCTACACAGTGAATTCTAGGACAGCTGGGACTACAGGGAGACCCTGTCTCAAAAAGACCAAAAACAAACAAACAAACAAACAAATAAAAATAATAGCCAGGTATGGTGGCACAAGCCTTTAATCCCAGCACTTGGGAGGCAGAGGCAGACGTATCTTTGTGAGCTCAAGGCCAGCCTGGTCTACATAGTGAGTTCCAGGATAGCTGGGGCTACAGGGAAACCCTGTCTCAAAAAGACCAAAAAAATAAATAATAATAATAATAAAATATTTAAAACTGTCGCCTAAGGGAGCTCTGGAGTAGTTGTTCTTACAGAGGACCCAGGTTCAATTCCCAGCACCCACATGGCAACTGTCTATAACTCCAGTTCCAGGAGATCTGGCGCCCTCTTCTGGCCTCCACAGGTTTTGCATGACACAGGTACACATATACATGCAGGCAATACAGTCATATGCATAAAATAAAAATACTTAAAAAAACAAAAAAAACTGCCACCTGAGCACCAACATCACAGCTGACATTGCATAAAGGTTTCCATTACAGTTTCAACAGCTCATGCTACACTAGCAGGACTGGTGATCTGGTTCCAGACAGCAGGCTTAGAACTGGGTAAGGGAGGGAGGCACAGAGGGGAAGAGGAGGGATGAGGATGGGGGAAGAGAGAAAAACAAGCACCTCTACCAGTCAGCTCCTGCACATGCTGCTCCCTACAGACAGCAGCCCTGGAGGCCCACAGGGCCCTAAGATCCACATTAGCATGCCCACTGGCCACAGTCCTCCTTGCCTCTGGGGTCAATCCAACCTGCCCAGTCACTGTCTCTTACCTGGGTCCAACCTCAGCTGAAACCAGATCGCCAATGGCCAAAGCTATCAGATAGGAGGGGACAGGCTGGTGCATCTGGAAGAAGAACTTATTTGGCCCTCTCTTCTCCCAGGTGCTTGCACTCATCACAGCTGTGAAGCCATCTGGGACCTGTAAACAGAGGAGACCACACCTGGAGAGTCTCCTTTTCTGTTTGTTTTGTTGTTTTTTAAGGGAAGTCCTCACTATGTAGCTTTAGCTGTCCTGGAACTCAACTCTGTAGACCAGGCTGGCCTCAAACTCACAGAGGTCCACCTGCCTCTGCCTCCTGAATGCTAGGATGACAAGTGTGTACCACACCTGGCTGTTTTCTTCTTTTTGAAGTAAGGTCTCACCATGTACCCCTGGCTAGCCTTGAACTCACTATGAAGACCACGCTGATCTGGAACTTTCAATGACCCTCTTGCCTCTGTTTCCTGAGATTTGGGATTACATATATGTACTACCATGCCTAGCTGGGGGGGGGGGGTCTCCTTTTGACTAACTTGAAGGACAGCAGAACCAGAAACCTGAATGGTGATGATAACGACTCAGAGTCCATCATGAAGAACATAAAGCTTCAAAAAACTAAACCTGAGCTGGGCATGGTGGCATGAACCTTTAATTCCCAACATTTAGGAGGCAGAGGCAGGAGGATCTCTGTGAGTTCCAGGCCAGCTGGGGCTACAGGAACACCATATCTCAAAAAGACCAAAATTATCTTATTTTTACTTTATGAGTGTTTTGCCTACATATATGTAAGTGCACCACATGCAAGCTATGCCCACAGAGGCCAGAAGAGGGCATGAGACCCACCCCACAACTGGAGCATGTGGGTGCTGGGAACCAACCAGGGTCTTCTTCAAGAGTAGCAAGTGCTCTTAATCACTGATCCACCCCTGCAGCCACTGAAATTAGAATCTTTTTTTTTAAAGTTTCTTTTAATCTTTTATTTTTATTGTATATGTATGCATGTATTGCCTGCAAGAACAGCCAGTGTTCTTAACCACTGAGCCATCTCTCCAGCCCAAAATTAGAATCTTTAAAAATTATTTTAATGTGTTTGAGTGTTTTGCCTACATGTATGTAATTGTACCATATGTATATAAACCTTCAGTGGCCAGAAGAGGGCATCAGATCTCCTAGAGCTGGAGTTACAGACTGTTGTTAGAAGCCATGTGGGTGCTGGGAACTGAACCCAGGTCCTTTACAAGAGCAGCCAGTGTTCTTAATCACAGAGCCATGTCTGCAGCCCCTAAAATTAGATTATTTTTTGACAGGTTTTTCCCTAGTCCCATCTACCCTGGAAGTCACTCCAGGACCAGGCTGGCCTTGATCTCACAGAAATCCACCTGTCTCTGCCTTTAATCCCACCACTTGGGAGACAGAGGCCCGAAATTAGATTTTTATTTTTTTTTAATATTTTATTTATTATTTTTATTTTATGTATATGAGTGTACTACCTGCATGTAGGTAAGTACACCCGTGTCATGCAATGCCCAAGGCGGGCAGAAGAGGCTGTCAGATCTCCTGAACTGGAGTTATGGACAGTTGTTAGCTGCCGTGTGGATGCTGGGATTCAAACCTAGGTCTTCTGCAAGAACAACCAGTGTTCTTGACTGCTGAGCCATCTCTCCAGGCCCCCCACCCAATTTATTTTTGGTCTTTTTGAGACAGGGTCTCTCTGTAGCCCCAGCTGTCCTGGAACTCACTATGGAGACCAGGATGGCCTTGAACTCACAGAGATCCACCTGTCTCTGCCTCCCAAGTGCTGGGATTAAAGGCATGTGCCACCACGCCCAGCCAAATTAGATTCTTAATGCCAAGGTACACACATAAATTCAATCACCTTACCTCTATAAGGGCAGAATATGTGCATTTCACTGCAGGTGTGTCAAAGCAAGGAAAGAAGGCCCGGTTTAAGACTGCCTGACCCTGAGTGTAGACAAAGGGCTGCTTCTTCCCTGCCGTCTGCTCAGGAGTCAGCCAGCAGACCTACAAGAACAGAAGAGCATTCAGAACTGACAGGTCCCATGTAAACTCAGTTCAGCCAGAGACAGGAGCTAGTCCACAAGGGAAAATGTCTGGTAATCCTCAAAATCTTCTTGTTAGTCAATTTGTTTCTGATTGGAATCCCTTCCCCTATTGTATATTTAATGTACCCTGGAATACAAGCCATGAGATGATGTCTGCAGATGCCACATTCTCCACTGTATCCCATGGGGCACCTCAGGAATCCCGTACAGAGCCTCTGATGCAGTGATTATATCCTTTAACAAGTAGTAATTTCTCATCAAAGATTTTACACTTCTGATAAGACACAGAAAAGCAGACCCAGCAGCTAGCAGTCAGTGGTTGGATTTTTGTTGTTATTTTACTGTTTTTTAAATTATGTGTGTATGTGTAGGCCTGTGCAGTTGCCTGCAGAGGCCAGAAACATCTGATCCCCCCTGAGTTCTAGTATACAAGACCAGTATGTGTTCTTAACCCCTGAGCCATCTCTCCAGCCCCTGGTTCTGTTTTTGACACAGTCTTCATGAAGCCTGTGCCACTACACTCAGGTGGAGTCAATGATTAATGTGCTCTCTATTCCTTAGTATGCATGTGGGAAATGTCCTGGTATCTTAGTTTTTCAATTTTGTTTTTGAGACAGGATCTCCCTGTAGGCATCGAACTCACTATGTAGACCAGGCTGGCCTCCATCTCACAGAGATCCAATCACTTCTGCCTCCCAAGTGTTGGGCATCACCATACCAGGCAGAATCCAGTACATCTTAAGAAACACTGGCCCTCATCCCTCCACCATCATTGCCCAAAGTATTTTGATTTAGTTTTTAAATAATGTAAAAAAAATGGAATGATGGACAGAAGAAATCTGACAGTCCGCACACTACAGTGTGAAGCTGAGGAGAAGGAACGAAGGCCTGCCAGGTACAAAGGACAATCCTTTGTAAAGCAGAGACCTCAGCTATGACATCTTGAATAACAGATACTCAACTCTGCTGTCTAACTTCCGGTGCAAATTCAGGGAGGGTTTCATTTTTCCATTCATCCTGTTTAATTTCTAGCTCCTACTGAAAGTTAGGAACCAAGATATAGCAGAGAAACCAAAGATATCTGAACTCAAGCTTCCCTACAGGGCACTGAAGGAACTTCCTTAGCCGTTGAGGCTGGCTTGCACTCTGTGCTTTGAACTTAAGTTTTATCACAAGACTCATTAATTCCTCTACCATTAAAGAAGGAAGTAGAATTGCTCTTTGGGCCAGTTCTAAGAGCAAAGAAAGGGGAACTGCTAGTTGGAAAGCTAGCTTCAATAGCCCACAGCAGCTTTTGGAAAAGCTTATAATCCTCCCAGCCACAACCTAAGGCCTCTCCTTCAAGGACTCTGACTAGATGTCTGCCACATTACCCTCTTATTTCCAGTACTTGCCCCACTCTGAAAATCTTAAGATTTAAGAGTCAGCCAACAGTTCCTGAGGCCAAATTGTTACAAAGCCCAGAACACTCTTAATTACACATTCTTACTTTTACTCACGTTCTTTTGCTTGATCAAATGTAAGGCTTCATAGAAAGAAATAAAAATAATTACCTAGGCTTCAGGGCTGTTTTAACCTGTGGAACTATAAGGGCACACAGAATACAGGACTGTGTCAGCATCGGTCTAACCAACACTCCCAGTCCCATAAAGGAGACTTACAAAGCGATAGATGAGGGACCCAGGCTGGTAAGTGCCTGACAGCATTAAGCTGTGTGTTCATAAGCCAGCACTTGGGAAGGTGGGGGCGAGGGGCGCGGGGCACAGGAATTCAAGGTCATCCTTGGCTACAGAAGGAGTTTGAGGTAGACTCGATCTCAAAAGACAAAAACTTCTGTGAACGAACAGTTTCATATCCAGAAAGCAACACAGGATAGTAAGACAAGGTGGTCTAGCATATGTGTGCAAAGGGGACTCGGGGTGCTCTAAACAAGTTCCTACCAGGAAGCAGGAAGGATGGGCAGACCCAACGCAGGGCGGGTGGCTGGAGAGGCAGAAGCCCAGTAGAGGGGAACCGGGGCGGAGTTAGGAGGGAGCAATGGAAGAGGCGAGATTGAGGAAGCGTCACAGAGGGGCCCCCGAGGATTTCCTCCCCTCCTGCTCCCGGCGGCTCCGCGGGGAGGGGCAGGAAGAGGCTGGAAAGGCCGGGGGCCAGCGTTGGGCACCGCGCACTCACCCCGGGTCCCTCCCCGACACGGTAGGTGAGCGCCAGCTGGAAGCGCTCGGTGGAGAGGCAGGGCTGCGGGAAGGCCACACACAGAGCCTGGCCGTAGTGCGAGAAGGGCCGCGTGTGGAAGGGCACGGGCTCGGCTGGTGGCGGCTGGGCCCCGGGCGGCTGCCGCTGCATCGTGGCCGCCGTCACCTCCAGGCACGGGTGCGAGTCGAGCTGCAGTTCGGTGGCGCCCTCGGGCAGCAGGCAGCGCAGATCCAGCAGCGCCGTGCCGCTCAGCCCACGGCTGCCGGGGCCCTGCCCCGGAGGCCCGAACTCGACCCGGAGGTCCAGGTGGATGTGCAGCATCTCGAAGGCCCGGAAGCTGGAGGCCGAGGCCACGTCCACCGCCTGTGCCGAGTGCAGCGGCCGCCCGCCGCGCGGCCCCGGCTCGCGTCGTTCCATGGCCCCAGAGCGTTTGCTCACCCGCCGGGAATACGTGCCGCTCGGCTGGGGCCCGGGGAAGCCCCGCCTCGAGGCGACGTGCCGCCGCGCCGCCGCCACGCCTCAAATCTGGGACTCTCCCACAGCTGCTCTCCAGCGTCTTCCTCCGCCACCCGGACGCCGGAGGACCAAGGCTAAATTGGCCCACCTGGCCCTGGGACGCTTTTCCCGATTCTTCATCTTACGGGCTGGCAGCAGGATATAGCGGACAGACAGAACTCAAGGGTCTGGGTTAGACATCTCACGTCATTAGGACGGTGTCTTGGACGGGTTGTCCTAGAAAGGTGACTGCGCCTGTAAAATAAGAGTCGTAATAACTATCAGTCAGGTCAGGTGTCTGACTTGATTGGTAAACCACAAAACACTACAGCTGCTGAAATTCCATAGTACCAGGTTCAGTTAGCCGCCATGTGGATGCTAGGAACCGGGGTCCTCTGCAAAAGCCACCAGTGCTCTTAACTGTTGAACCATCTCTCCAGCCCCTGTTAGTGTTTCTTAATTTAAAAAAAGCAATAATAAGGGCTGGAGAGATGGTTCGATATTTAAGAGCACCTACTGCTCTTCCAGAATACCCAAGTTTGATTCCCAGCCCCCATGTAAGGTGACTCACAACTGCCTGTAACTTCATCCAGTAGGGCATTTGACCCCTCTGGGCTCCCCAGGCACCTGCATGCATACACGCACACACACACTGTTAGTCCCAGTACTCAAGAGGCAGGTGGGCAGGTGGATCTCTGTGAGCTCTAGGCCAGCCTGATCTATATATGAGTTAAAGGCCAGCTAGGGCTACAGAGAGACTGTTTCAAAAAAGGGAGCAGGGAGACTGGAGAGATGAATGGTGACAAGTACTGGCTGCTCTTGCAGAGGACTCAGGTTCCCAGCACCCACACAGCAGCTAACAACCATCTGTAACTCTAGTTCCAGGAGATTTGACACTCTCTTCTGACTTCTATAGGCATTGCACAGCACAGGTGCACTTATGTGCAAACAATACACTCATACACATAAAATAATCTTTTTCACATCCCTTAAATCCCAGCACTCACCAGGCAGAGGCAGGCAGAATAGAGTTTGAGGCCAGCCTGATCTACATAGTGAGCTCTAGGCCAGACAGTGCTATATAGTGAGACCCTGTCTCAGGACAACAAAAAGTTAAAAATCCAGTTGTGGCACATGCCTGTAACCCCAGCACTCAGGAAACAGGCAGGTAAATCTCTTGAGAGTTTAAGGCTAGCCAGGGCTACATAGGGAGGCCCTGTCATATAAACAGATAAACCCAGGTTTTGCATACACTAGACAAATGTTCTGCCCTTAGCCCCTAAATTTTATAAATTTTGAAAAATATTTTATTTTTATGTGTTTGAGTGTTTTGCCTACATGTATGAGTGTACCTCATGTGTGCAGTGCCACCAGAGGCCAGAAGGTGTTGGGTCCCCTGGAACTAGAATTATAGATGGTTGTTAGCTGTCATGCCGGGGTTCTGGGAACTGAACCCTAGTCCTCTGCAAGAGTAACAAGTACTTTTAACTGCTGAGACAGCTCTCCAGCCACCTAAATGTTACATTTTTAGGAGTTTGTTAGGACTGGGCCAGTTAGGCCTCACTAGCCATATTGAAATCATATGCAGCTTTCATTTTTTTAAAAATAATTTAAAAAATTTTTTTTAATTTTATGTGTATGTGTGTATTGCCTGCATGTGTTTAAGTGCACCTGATTTGTGCAATGCTGAGGAGGTCAGAAGTAGGCATCAGATTCCCTGGAACTGGAGTTACAGATAGTTGTTAGCTACCATGTGAGAATCAAATCCTGGTTTTCCGCAAGAGCAGTCAGTGCTCTTAACCACTGAGCCATCTCTCCAGCTGGCAGCTTTCATTTTTATTATGCTGCTATGTAGCCAAGGATGCCCTCAAACTGGCAATCCTGCATCAGCCTCCCAATTCTGGGATTATGAACAGGCAACACCACTCCCTTTCTTATGGAGCTACCTGCAAGTTGCTTTTTGGACAGCCATGGGCCCTTTTGTTTATGTCTCCCCAGGAAAACTCAGGCAACAGGTAAAAAGTCATGTCTATCTATCTATGTACCTACTAATTACTGTCTAGGGGTCTTGTTGGGTTCATTTTCTCCACCAATGAAAGAACTAAAAGGCGCCAGGCGTGGTGGTGCACGCCTTTAGTCCCAGCACTCTAGAGGCAGAGGCAGGCGGATCTCTGTGAGTTTGAGGCCAGCCTGGTCTACAAAGTGAGTTCCAGGCCAGCTTGGGCTACAAGGAGACCCTGTCTCAAAAAGACCAAAAAGAAAAGAACTAAAAGACAAGAAACATCTCAGACACAACAGATAACAAACTTTATTAAAAGTAAAGAAACAAGGTCAGGTGTGGTGTTTGATCCCAGCACTTGGGAGACAGAAATAGACAGATCTCTGGGAGTTCCAGGCCAGCCTGGTTTACATAATGAGAACCTGTCTCAAAAAAACAAAAATCAATCAATCATTACATTTTTTTTTAATGAAGAAACACACGCATATATTCACAGAGAGAAAAGCTCTCCACAAGTAGGGGAGGGCTTAGAAATTAAAAAAAAAAAAAATCCAAAGCCTGCAGAAGGGCTTAGGCTTTTTAAATATTGGTGGTATAAGGCTGGTTCCCCGCCCCTAATTTTGGATTGGCCAACTTAAACAAAGAAGAGCCAATAGACTGCACCTGCATGCACACACACACACACACACACACACACACACACACACACACACAGTAAAAATGAATTTAAATAATAAAGTTCATTGGGGCTGGAGAGATGGTTCAGTGGTTAAGAACACTTGCTGTTCTTCCAGAGGTTCCAGGCTCGATTCCCAACACGTACATAGTGACTAACACCCATCCATAATGCCAGTTCCAGGGGATCTGTCACCCTCTATATACAGACAATACACTCATACACATAAGCTAAAATAAAATGTTAAAATAATAATAAAGTTAATTATAAACAAGTAAGAATGATGATCATTATACTCTGGCTGGCAAATTTATTTCTCACAGAGGTATAGTTTATTAATTCCAAAATTACTCTGTTACTAGGATTAACAAATGAACCAATGTGACCTAGCTCACAGGCTGGAATTCACAGTGCATTTTGTTTATTTTTATTATTATTATTATTATTATTATTATTATTTTGGTCCTTTTGAGACAGGATCTCCCTGTAGCTCCAGCTGTCCTGGAACTCACTATGTAGACCAGGCTGGCCTTGAACTCACAGAGTTCCGCCTGCCTCTGCCTCCCGAGTGCTGGGATTAAAGTCGTGCGCCACCACGCCTGGCATGATTATTTTTTATAAATGAATGGATATAGAAATAAACTTTGAAGTTTCTGTCTGTGAATTAGATGCTCACATTTTTTCCCTCACTTAACAAAGTACAAAGGACCAGAAGCAGTGGTACCCAAGTGGTAATTTGGGCACCTGCCTACTAATGCACATGATACTGGTAAACTGACACTGTTGAGGCTCACTGAGAAGCTAGTTCTGGAAGTGAGGTGAGCACCTCCACTTCAGACTCAAGCATGCTTATCTCAAAGTGTCCTCCAGAACCCCCTGTGCTGGGTCAGGCTGTCCCCCTAGCTATGTGTGGGAGAGGGGAAAAACAGCAAGCTGCTAGGGTATTAAAATCGTTTCTTTGAGAATAGCTAGAAGGTAAACTATTTCCAACCTAAATTACTGCTGTTTATCCCATGGTACAAATATATATTTGGTACAAAAGGGAAACTGAAAGCTCATCTAGGAAAAGCTCTATTGGAAACTCCAGCTGACTGCCTTACCTTCCTGTCAGTTCTGCTGGATAAGCCCTGACTTGATGTCACCTTTGCGTGCTCTCTCCATTGGCACCTCCAGTTATCCTTGCTCCATTTGTAGATGCCTGATTTAATGATGTTTTACTATACATCTACTGCTCCTGTCTCAAAAAAACAAAAACAATGTTGAAAGGATATAAAAGTCAACCAGGGACAGGTAAAGTTGTTTGTTGCCAAGCCTAACAACCTGATTTTGATCCCTGGAACCCATATAGCAGAAGTAGAGAACTGACTTCCAAGTTGGCCTCTGACCTCCACACTCTCTTACCCTCCACTCACACATAAATAAAATAAAATTATATATGTATGAGGGTTTGCCTGCATGTATGTATGTGTACCACTCTTTAAGTCAACCAGAAAGAGCTCTCAACAGGCAAAGTTAGAACAACCTGCACAAATAAATAATGATAGTATTGGATCACAGCTTCCAAAGGAAATAAATACTCACAAGCCTATGCAGGTAAAATTGAGAAAGTGAATGGGAACCAATTTTCCTTTAAGAGAATTCCAATTAGTACATGTAGAAGGAATGAATAAACAGAAAATCATATTTATAATACCACATACCAAAGTTAACTGGGAAGAGTTAAAGCAAAATCAGTGTATTTGCATTTCAAATAATCTTACTCTTTAGTTACAAGGGAAAAAATAATTATTCTGTACAACAGACTACTATTCTTTAAAAGCATCAAGGTCAGGGTTGAAGAGATAGCTCAGCAGTTAAGAGCACTTACTACTCTTACAGAGGACTTAGGTTTCGGTACCAGCACTCACAACCATCTCCAGTTCCAAGGGCCTCTTCTGGACTCCAAAGGCATTGCACAACACAAGTGGATTTACATACATGCAAAAACATACACATAAAAATAAAAGCATCAAGGTCACAAAAGACAAAGAAAAACTAAGAAGCAGTCAGACTACAGACTAAGGAAACAATTAGTAGAATTTGGGATCTTGTATTAGATCCTGAAACAGGTAACCAACACTGTACTGTTTAATTCTTGTTAACTTGACACAAACTAGAAGACGCTAATTGCCTACATCAGCTTGACCTGCGGCCCCTTCTGTGAGACATTTCCTTAATTGGTAGTTGACACAGGAGGACAACTGTGTGTGGTGCTATCCCTGAGAAGGTGGACCTGGGCTGTACAAGGAGAGGAGCTGAGCAAGCCAGCAAGCAATGTTCCTCC